GGGCTTCGCTGTAGGTGCATGAATATTATCCTATCACAGACAGCGTTGTACCTCATGACTGATCTGGATTGTTCTTTTTGACAAGGAATGCAACACCATTCCTCTTCAGTTTGTCATTCCCAGGATAGTAAACTATGTGGTCATCAGATTCAAAATGACCAATACTGGTCCATTTCAGCTCACTAATGGCTAAGATATTGATGTTTATGCATTCTTTTTCATTTTTGAAAACTTCCAATTTCACCAGATTCATACTTCGTACATTCCATGTTCTGATTTTCAGTGGGTGTTTACAGCTGTTTCTCTTCATTTTGAGTTGTGCCCCATCAGCAAATGAGGGTCCTGTGGGCTTTTCTCCCATGGGCTGTACTCCATTTGCATCATCATGGTCAAGTCTACTTTGAGAAAGTAGCTCTTCTCCAGTTGCATTTTGAGTGCCTTCCAACCTGAGGGGCTCATTTTCCAGCACTGTATCTGACAGTGTTTGTCTGCTATTCATAAGCTTTTCAGTGACTAAAGATTTGGAAGTAGTTCGTCACTCTTTCTTCCTAGTCTGTCTTTGTCTGGAAGCTCATCTGAAACTTGTCCACCATGGGTGACCCTGCTGGTATTTAAAATTTCGGTGGCATAGCTTTCAGAATCACAGTAATTCACAAGCCACCACAGTACGACAAACTGACAGACGAGTGGTGGCCATTTGGTTTTAAGTGGAAACTGTCACTTTAAATTTTGAGGTGATCTGTACGCATGCGTAGTAGAACCCTCCAGGGGTGGGGGTGGGGTGTCCATTCACTCAGGCATCTCCTCTAGTCACCAGAATGGAGGTGCGCAGACAGTGAGAGACCAATGAACAGATACCAAAAATATGAATGTCCACACCTGTATCTCCATGGTTCTGTCAGGTGTCTGTGGCTGTTCTGATCCTTCCTCCACTTGGTTTCTCCCAAGATGGTAGCTCCGGGAGCAGCTGAGCATCTTGAATTAGAAAGCACTGGATTTCTTTGTTCTTCTACAAATTCCCCTAGCTGTAAGCCTTCCAAGCTTCTAAATATTCCTTTATATGTGGTTCAGAGTTCTGGCACCATCCCCTGAGCCTGCTTGGTCTGTGTTGTTGCTGACAGAGCTCCTCACTGCACATCTACCCGATCCGCCATCTTCATAGATCCTTTATAGCCTCAAGAAATGAAGAGCTGTGACAAGACTGGATATGTGCACACCCATGTTCACTGCAGCACTGGGCACAACAGCAGAAAGATGGAGACAGCCCAATGCCCATCACCAGAATACACCCAGAGGAATATTACATAACATTGAAGAATAATAATCTGTGAAACACCTCACAATTTAGTGAGGTGTTGAGTGAAATTTCTAAAAAAAGGGCAATTACTGCATGAGACCACTGTTGTAATAAGTTAACAAAAGATTTTCTTACTTAAGGAAACATTCTATGATGGTTATGGGGCATGTTTCAGTGGGGGAAGTGAAAAAAAAGAACAAAGTGAATGGAGGTAAGTACCGTTATCTGATGGTACATGGATTGGATTGCAATCATTGTTTTGATACTAAGTGTATAATTTGTGTATACTTAGTGTATATTAAGTGTATAATTGAACTGATGATCTGTTCTGTAAACCTTCAACTCAATTCACAATAAAAAGTTAAAAAAAAATATTAGGTGCCATTGAGTTGATTTCAACTCATAGCAACCTTAGGCACAACAGAAGTAAACACTTTCAGGTCTTCACAATCGTTGCTGTGCTTGAGCCCATTGCTGCTGCCACTGCCAGTCCTTCTCGTTGGGGGTCTTCCTCTTTTCTGCTGATCCTCCACTTTATCAAACATGTCCTTCTCTAGGGACTGGTCCTCCTGATAATATGTCTGAAGAATGAGAGACGAAGTCTTACCCTCCTAGCTTCTAAGGAGCATTCTGGTTGAACCTCTTCCAATGCAGATTTGTTGGTTATTCTGGTAGTCCATGGTACTTTAATATTCTTCTCCCATACCATAATTTAAATGCATCAGTTCTTCTGTGGTCTTCCTATACATAGTGTCCAACTTTCACATGCATACGAGCATGCTTATTTGGATTTGTTAGTCTTCAGAAATGTGAGACAATAAATTTCGATAATTTTAAGCCAAAGAGAAAAGAAAGGGCATTCTTGCATGCTCCTCAAATAGTTTTGCCAAAAGTCTCATTGCTGGCTTTTACTTAACTATTTGTTTCATCAGCATGGCTGGGGGACGGATATTGGCTAGCTTGAGGTCATATGTCACCCTTGGTGGACTATAGGAGTATTGAAGGATCACTTCTACCCAAGCCACATAAGTTGGGTTTCTCCTAAGAAAATGGGCTTGTTCTAAGAGGAAGGGGACATACTTTAAAGGCAGACAAAGTAAACAGGTCCTATAGCCTGAGGAGAGAAAGCAATAGTGAAGGTGCTGTTGTAAGTGCTTGGGGCTCTCAGTGAGTGATTCTGGGGGTGCAGCCAGGTGGTGACTACTGCCTGTTGGTCTTCCTCCAGAAAAGCTGCCAAACGGCCAGCATTGCCACAGCTGAGGTGTCCGTCCAGGCCCGGAAGCATGCTGATGCTGAGGTGCAGACTGACCCCCTTGTGCCAGTCAGAGTGCTGTCTCCATCCCAGCAGGACAGCCCCCGGCTTGCAGCCTTTCTTCAGAGGGTGGAGGACCTGGTCATCCGAGAGCTGAACAAAAATCGGCACAGCCATGCGTTTGATGGCTTCGAGGTAAACTGGACAGAACAGCAACAGACGGTAAGCTGACAGGTGGTGCAAGCCTCTCAGGCTGGCTTAGGGCCAAGCCTTTACCCCCTTTGTAAATCCTTTTACTCTTCTCACTTAACACCAATAGTAATAATAGCTAGCCTTTCTTGAGCTTGTTACATGTTTTGCCAGGTTCTAAGCTGGGCTTTATAAGAGAAGTACTAAGCCTTCACGATTATCCCTTGTGGTGAGATCCACTGTTATCCCCATTTAACAGTTGGGAACCTGAAGACACACAGTTGAAGTCATTTTTCCAGAATCACACTGAGCTAGTGAGTGATGGGGGCAGGATTTGAACCTGGGCAAACTGACTCTGGATCTTATTCCCTCAACCACTCTTCTGGGCCTCCTCCCCCCAGGTGCTATATACTAAGCACAGTGAACATCCCTGATACTCATTATTTCTTAAAACAATCTATCTGGTAATACTATGAAGGTCTCATTTTAGAGAGGCGACAACAGGCTTAGAGATCAAGGGACTTATCTAAGATTATTCATAGCTATCAAGTGGCTTATCTGGAATTTGAACCCTGGTCTGTCTGATTTCACTGTGTGCGGTGTGATTTCAGTTTGAGAAAAAGGCACATATCAGAGTTGGTCAGACGTGGTGCAGTGGATTATTTAACATAGTCTTTCTAGCTTGAATTATATTTTTTCCCCATTTTTCCAGGAACCTTTTGAAGTTCCCTTGTATAGTCTTTATAACTCCCATTAAACGATTGGGTAGGATTATTCAAATGACGTGTTTGTGGCCCACCAAGGGGATTGGAGAGTTTGTTAATAATTAATTGCAGGTAAGGTGCATGGCACCATTGTGGGGGTGGGACCATGCAAATAAAGTATATTGAAACCTAAAGAGGGGATTGGTCAGTTTTGCCATCCTGCTAGGCTTAAAAATGAGCCATCCCAGAAGTGGGAAGGGAGGATCTTAACTACTACCAAGAAAGAAGAGGCTGGAGTAGAGCACATCCTCTGTATCCAGGATCTCTGCACTGAGAACCTCCCAGACCCAGGAGACAGAGAGAGAGAGATGAGATGTAACTAGAGATGAGAGACAGTGGGAAGCAGCAGTAGAGAAACGGCAGCAGAGGCAGTACAACTGGCGGGAGATGAAGCAGTGGGCTTCCCGGCCCATGGAACAAAAAAGCTAAATGCCTTTGGGCCAAGGCTTACTGTCAGAGCTAACAAAGCTTTAGTGCCAGAGAGAGGCTTCTCATGGGTACAACTGGAAGAGAGGCTGTTCCGCTTGAAGAACTGTATCCTGAGTTGTTTCTGATCCTAAAGTAATAACTCTTACTTCCCTAATAAGCTCCTTAATGATATTGTCTGCGAGTTAGAGGTGGCCTTTGCAGTGAATTATTGAATCCAGCAAAGAATCAGACAGTGTCCTGGGATAAACAGTTGGTGCCAGAATTGGTAAAATTGTTGGAGATGGGAGATATATTTGACCTCCACCTCATAGGAATCAGCTTAGGGCTAGTGATGTTGATGCTTTTTCTTGCTTGTGAAGTTAGAGGTCAGACATTCTATACTTTAAAAGCAAGGAGCCTTTGTTTTGGCTGCATGCTGGTGCCCCCTCATTAGGAACCTTTGGGGCAGGCTGCTCACTGCAGCACTAAGCACCCCAGACTGAACTTCTTGTTGTTAGGGTCCATCGAGTCAGTTCCAACTCTTAGTGACCCTGTGTAGGTTGCCTGAGGAGCAGCTGATGAGTTTGAACCTCCAATCTTGTAGTTCAAACTGATCTTGCAACCCAGTGCTTATCTTATAGTGCCACACCAGGACTCTGGGGTGTACTTAAAAAAATTTATTTTTGTTAGTTATCAAGACAGTGCAACCCTAAATACATCAGAACGAAACATTGCCTGGTCTTGCACCATCGTCATATCATGGGTCTGTTTAAGCCCCTTTTTGTGGCTCCTGTGTCATTCATCTCATTTTTTGCTGACGACTCCATAGTACCTACCATGATGTTCTTTCTAGTGTTTGGTCTTTCCTGATGACATAATAAAAGTTGATTGAAGTCTTGTCATCCTGGCTTCCAAGGAGCATTCTAGTTTGTATTTCTTTCAAGACTGATTTGTTCTTTTGGTCGTGGTTGTGTGCCATTGAGTTGCTTCCGATTCACAGTGACCCCATATAGGGTTCCCAAGGCTGTAAATCTTTATGGGAGCAGCTGACCTTGTGGTTAGCAGTCCCGCTCATAATCCACTGAGCTACCAGGGCTCCTTATTCTTCTGGTAGCCCATGGTATAGTCACTGTCCTTTGCTAACATTATAGTTAAAATGTTATCAATTCTTCTGTTTTCCTGTTTTTTGTCATCCAGCTTTTACATGCTTATGAAGTGGTTGAAAAGACCATGGCTTAATTTGGGTGCACCTTAACCATCTAATGACATCTTGGCTTTTAAAAACTTTTTAAAGAAGTCTTTTATAACAGTTTTGCTCAATGAGGTGAATCAATTCTGTGTTAGAAGTTCTAACCCACTTCTCTTCTTGTGCCTCCCAGTGTATTTCCAGGGATCCATAGCCATTTATTCACCAAGGAGAGGTGGATGTGGGTTGTTGTTAAGTGCCATCAAGTTGATTGCAACCCTCTATAAGGTTTCCAAGGAACAGTTGGTGAGCTTGAACTGCCAACCTTATGGTTCAAATTGACTTAGCAGTCCAGTACATTAGCCCACAGCGCCACACCAGAGTGATTTATTTGACAGAAATGATCAAAATTGTTCTGAAAACCCATTTCCAGATGTCACACCAAAGTGTCTAGTCACTCTTGTTTTAAGCAAGACTCAAGGAATAATAGAATTTAAGAATCATTACAATCTTAACACATTCTACACGTTCCAGATGTTCTCTGTGTCATTGCTAAGGTCCATTGCACAGTTACATTTGGTGACGTTAGGTCTCTTTCACATTTCTGTGGATTTATTTGGGTCATATATATGTATATATATAAACTCTCCCATATTTTTTAAAAAAATAACTTTATTGTGAATTGAATGAAGGTTTACAGAGCAGATCATCAGTTTTACATTCAGCAAATTATCCACTTTGTTTCATCTCACTGATTACAGTCCCCTTTAGTGTAACATCACATATCCCACTGCCTCTTTGTGGTTCTTGTTCCCATTCCTTCTCCTTCCCTAGCCTTCTGAATTCTGTCCTTGAGTAAATGCTGCCCTTCTCAAATAGATGACCATTGTATGGTCAACCTCCCTAGTGTTGTTCACTTCCCCCTTTTTATATATATTTATTTTTTCTGATTATAAAAGTAATACATGTCATTATAAACATTTTCACAGAAATACTTAATATATAATATATAGACAGTGAAGGTTAATGATTTGGTATTCAATTTGAGAAGCTCGACTATATGAAGTATAATGAATCATCAGGATTGGAGGAAAACTCATTAGCAACAGCAATATGCAGATGACACAGCTTTGCTGAGGACTTGAAGCACTTAGTGTTTATGAAGATCAAAGATTATGGCCTTCAATATGGATTATACCTCAATGTAAAGAAAATAAAATCATCACAACGGGACCAATAAACAACATCAAGATAAATGGAGCAAAATTGACATTATCACGGATTTCATTTTACTTTTATCTACAATCTGTGTCCATGGAAGCAACTGTTAAGAAATCAAATGATATATTTATTGGATTGGGCAAATCTACTGCAGAAGACCTCTTGAAGGTTTTGAAAAGCAAAGACATCACTTTGAGAACTAAAGTGTACCTGACCCAAGTCATGTTATTTTCTGTTGCCTCTTTTGCATGTGAAAGATGGATAGTGAATAAGGAAGCCCAGAGGGAATGGATGGCTTTGAATGATGGTGTTGGCAAAAAATACTGACTGTATCTTGATTTGCCAGAAGAATGAACAATTTGTCTTTGAAGAAGTGCAGCTGGAACACTCCTTAGAAGTGAAGCTGAGGAGACTTCATCTCATGTATTTTGGGCATGTTTTTAGGAGGGACCAGTCTCCAGAGAATGACATCATTCTTGGAAAAGTCAGAGGGTCAGTGAAAAACAGGAAGACCCTTAATGAGATGGAATGACACAGTGGTTGCAACAATGGGCTCAAACTTAGCAAGGATTATGAGAAGGTGATACTGGGCAGTGTTTTGTTCTCTTGTATATAGGGGTCCATATGAATTTGAACTGATTTGATGGCATCTAGCAACAACAGCGGATTCCTGGTATGGTGCTGTGGGTTAATGCACTAGACTGCAAGGTTGGTTTGAACCACAAGGCTGGTGGTTCACCAGCTTTTACTTGGAAACTCTATAGAGTCTCTAGGAGTTGGAACTGACTTGACAGCACTTAACAACAACAGAGGTTTTTTCTGTGCTAGACCAGCACATAATATTACTGTGCTTGCTGTTGTCATTAAGAACAATTTAAACAAAAGTAGAACGTGCTGTGACTTTTCTCACTTGCTGTGGTTTTCTAATTCAGCACTTACAGAATCTTTAGCAGCTGTACCATGTCCTAGTGCACGAACACACCATTCTTTATTTGGTAGACATTCCAGACAGCAACTTCACTTTTACAAACTGATCCTAGGGAAACATTTGAATGAGGTGCGAGGTTGGTAGCCTCCTTTTGAGTAGCTGTGACCATGTCTTCATGGTCTTGATGTTTCTTAGACACTTCCAAATTTCAGGTAGAAGACTGCTTCAAACCTTGTCATTATCTAACAGAACTGTAGTAAATCTCTCTAACTTGGTTTTTCCCCTTTAGTCAGGTTGTTTACTTCTCAGAGTGGAATTACTATTTGGAATGATGTTGGGGTTCCTATGTCCCCTACTGCTGTCACATTGTTGGCTTTGACACTTCACCACTGCCCTTGGTGCTACCTACCGTAGCACCTTGAGAAAGACTGAGGCGTTGCCCCTAATTAAAAACTATAACTTTCCAATTCTAATCACAGTGTAACAATATTACTGAAAACTTAAATCGCCCACCGTCCTGCACGGA